ATTGTCTTTTTGGTTGCAAATCCTTTGCAGTCAAAGACTGCCTGAAGTCTGAAACCCATAGACATCACCAGATGCTGGGTTTCTACCCTGGTGATGCTCTGCCTGGCCTTTACTGTAGTTGTATAAAAGTCTTGAGTTGCTTTCACAGGATGCTTCAGGTCGCTGTCCATCTGCACTGTGAAGTGCCATCTAATAAGTTTTTAAGTATCTGGCTGAGTCTGGGCAGATAATATAGCCCCACAAACTTCAGAATTCATCTTGCTGCTTTTGTCAGCAGTCACATCATCAATTAATACAAGGGAACCAGATCCATTGGCAGCCATACATGCCCATGCCATAAAACTACCTCCACCATGCTTGTCAGATGAGTTGGTATGCTTTGTGTCATAAGCAGATCCCTCCAGACCCTTTTCTTCCCATAATTCTGGCACAAGCTGGTCTTTGTCTCATCTCTCCATAATTTTTATTGGTTTACATCTTGTGGTCAACCCTCTGTATTTATTCTGGTAAAGTCATTTCTTGATTGTTGACTTTGACACAGATACACCTACCTCCTGGACGGGGTGTTTGCTCTGGCCACCTGTCAACAGTCTTTACCAGGGAGAGAATTATTCTTTCTTCCACCATAGTTGTTTTCTGTGGTCCTCCAGGCCTTTTGGTGTCTGAGTTTACCAGTAGTTCTTTTTTTAAGAATGTACCAAAAAGTTGATTTAGCCACACCTACTGTTTTTCCATCTCTCTGATATATTTGTTTTGATTGCTTCACTGGCAGTGACAGATCTTTGGACTTTTTATTGAGAGTTAACTGCAACAGATTCCAAATGCAAATGCTACACTTGAAATCAGCTCTTTGTCTTTTATCTGCTTTCTTGTAAGTGAAGTAATAAGGGAATAACACACACCTGGCTGAGTAACCAACTGTCCAATTACTTTTAAACCCATAAAAATAAGTTCCGCCACACTATCGCTGCCTTCTCAGTTACACGCTTAAAGGGAAATCCTACTAAATTTCTGCATAATCCAGTGACTGAGATGGAAACAAAGTCAATTTAGAATGGTTTGATGTGAAGTGGCTCAGTGTGGAAAAACTTACTGACTCAAATTTCTTCACAGTGGTGCTGATAGGAACCAGGGGTCGGAATGTTTACAGCACAAACTGTAATGAAGAGGGGGATGAAGAGGCAGGATGCAAGTGCAAGTGCTTTCTTTTTATTGAAGTCCATAACTAAAAAGAATCCACAAAAGTAACAAAACAAAGAAAGATACTAAAGACAAAAATAGTAAAACAGAAAGACAACAAAAGAATAAGGGGCATGAAGGAAACCACAATACAACAGGGAAACCACAAAACAGGACCTGTGAAACCAAAGCATCAAGCAAACACAAGACAAAAAACCAGTGGGTATAAATACACAGAGAACAAACAAGAAACACCTGGGACTAATGAGAGGGTGGGGCTACAGACTAGAGACAGGGGAGTCAGATAACCAGGAGGCAGGACATGGAAAGACACATGAACAAAAGGAATGCAAGGGAAGGTCAACAAGAGGAGAGAAATGGACAAAAACATGGGCAGGGAAAGACAGGATGTTCCCCAAGCATAACCATTTTATTTATTTCTCTTAAACAGCCAGTGAACCGACACACATCTTTTGAATTTTATATGTAATGTAGAAAAAAGTAAAATAGTGGTAAATCTGAAAAGATTTTTCTCTGGGTACTATATTGCCTTATAACATGCTGCACATATCTCTCCACCATCAATGGGTTTAAAAAAATACATTTTAGACCGCAATCTTGTAACCATTGCCAGATAAAGTATTTACTTTATCAGATAAAGTAATCAGACCCTTTTTCAAGGAGGTTGTTACAGTCTTCTCAGAGTTATTGTAATACAATATCCCAGGCATCAAGCAATGTATTTATAACTATTTCATGTAATAACTTTCTGTGTGGGAGCTTTTAGAGGCATTAAACTCTTCAGATGTCTGTTTCCTATGTGAGCAATTCTGACTCTGTAAGTTTCTCTAGAACGGAGCATTTCACATTCACATTCACATTCACATTTCACAAACCACTCTAAATGACTGTTTACATCTGAACCATTTAATTATAGAGAATTTTTAAAAAATCGGTGGAATTCCCTATTAACAATGTTTCCTTGGCAAAAAACTCACATTCAGGCACTTGTGTTTCATAGTAGTAAAGTATAATATACTTAGCTGCGAAGTCTGAGCAATAAAATAATAGTGAAGATATGCTTCCGATTTTGGCACATGGATCACTGTACATATTTTTGACCAAGCATCAGTGACCTGACTGGCTAAATTCAAATTGGTCAACCAATCATAAGAACCAGATATTAAGTAAGCTTTATTATTATCGCTTTAATTGTTGCTGACATCAATGACAATTGCCTCTATTTTCATCCCTGCAAAGTTTCTGACCGGTAAACACCTCCATGCCGCTGCAGTACGAGCCCAACCGAGACAAATGAAAAAGAAACAGTATCACAAAAACTCTCGTGCAGACTTTAGAAAATTAACTGGGTAAGGAAACAAACAGCCTGATGTTCTTCAGAGATGTTAGCTAATAGAGTTTGCTATCTGAAACTGAACCTACTGAAGCACAGGGTCAAACAAGCACTGACACTGTTCATCAGTTGGTTCGTAGAAATGTGTTATTGCATGACATGAACAGTAGTTAGTCAGTCAGTGACCTAGTTGCATTTTGTCACTCAGCAAGCTGTGTTTTACTTATTTTATTATGTATTTATTTTTTGGAAACCAAAAGTTTTACCCCACCGCTTTTGGAGGTGTGGCGCCACCCCTGTTTTCTGTTTCTCTGCTTTTTAGTGTCCTTGCATCTCAGAGGTAGAAAGAATTTCCCCCTGAAATCTGCACTGCACGGTGTGAAGACTCATCTCTTCAGACAATACCTAGAATAACACCTTTCCCTACTCATTCTCACTTCATTCCTGTATCAATTGTCACTTTTTATTTCTCTCCGGTCCTCTGTGCTTTACTTCTTTTTTATTGCTCACACACTTAAAAAAAGCTTAATTTAATTCATTTTCCTCAGTGTCTAGATCTGTATGTATTTATTAAAAGGGGCCATGTCCTATACTTTTATTGTATTTTATTTTTTTCTCCTTAAAGTCCACTTTTGACATTTGTGTGTTTTAATGTTCATAACTGATTTTGCATGAAATTTCCAACCTCTCTTTATACTGTACAGTTAAACAGGCTGCTTTTGTTGCCGTGCCTTTGACCATAAATTCACATTGAAGGTGACAAATCACAAATGTTGCCTCAAGTTGGTCTTTTATGGGTGAGTTTGGGGTTGTTGTTACATGTGGCTGTGTACACTGTCCAGCTTCTGACAAGAAAATGTAAAAAAAATGCGGGAATATGAACAAAATGTTAGGGTTAGGGTTAGCAGAGGCCGACCCACATGTCTACAGTCGGTCTGAGGAATTTGTTTGAGCCAGTAATTTAGATTGTTGCTTCACTGCGTCATAGCTCATTTGCATAAAGTTGAAAACTTCTAACCTTGATTTGTCTGATTGTCGCTAAATCACAGGTACAGATTGTGTACTCTCAAAGGAAATGACTCGTCACCTGTTGCCCTGTCATACTCACATATATATTTGAGCTGTGTTCTGATTGTCTATCCTATACCATGCTTCATTTCAGAAAGCAGTCTGGGCTGAAACACTCCTTATAACTTCAGTATGAATGGGTGGGGCTATACTGCTGTAGCTGAAATGGCAGAGCCAAACCACTGTAGGCTGAATTTGACATTAACAACCAATTGAGATGCTTGCTAGGAAAATCTTGGGTAACACTTTCTATGATGCCTATGTTCATAAATTCTTTTGAACATGCTTATAATATCTTTGTAACTTGGTAACAATGCTTTGTAAGCAAACACTAATGTTAACGTTCCAAACTGTAACAATGTACTATAATTCAATATTTGATGACTTACATCTTGTAACACAAGTCACTATCCATTACAGAGCCATTTAACCATGGTTGATGACCTGCACATACTTATAAAGCATTTATAATACTTATTAACCCCTTAAAATCATCAGAGGCTTATTACATGCTAAGACTTATTATTCAGTAACTACAGGGATTTCAATTCACTTTGGGCCCACCAGCATGTTAGGGGTCAATAATTATAAACATTAATGATCATTAAAAATGCCATCACTGAATGCTTGATTGATTCTTTTATTGTCACATGTTGGTGGTAACTGTTTTCAGTGCATCAAGATGCAATTCAACTCTGTAGTAGCACAATACACATAAACATACAATGTAACAAATATACAGTAAACAATACTCAATACAATGTAAAACAGACAGCATTAATCATGGGAGAATCACAGAAAATTACACAGTAATCTTATTTGTGCATTCTTACAAAGGCTGGAAAATTTTATGGCCAGACTACAATGATTTACACTACTCTGAAAAGTTTAGTAAACTTATTAAGCTGTTGTTTTAGTTTTTAAAGATCTATAGCACCTCCCAGAAGGAAGTGGATGAGATGATGCGCTGGATGAGAGGAATCTGTAATTATTCACTGTGCTTGCTTAAGTGTGCTCTGAGGATAAACAGAGTCTACTGAAGGTAGAGGTATTCTAATTATCTCTGAAGCTTTACCAACAATCCCTTGCAGTTTATTCATTTGTATATCTTTTTTCCATACCAAACTTTAATAAATGATGTGAGAACACTCTTGAGGATGGAAAAATGAAATTAAATGAGTGGATCTCTTCTACTAGAAGTACAACCTTTGTTGAGATATTTTGATGATATTATCAGAATTAATGCTCCCCATCAAAGAATCGCTAATGTAGTGTGCTTCCAGTAAAGTGACTGGTATGTTAGGTTATTCACATTTGAATATTAAATGTGCGGTTTATGTGTCTGTTTGTGTTTAGTACATGTGCGCTATAATATACTGTATATCTTTTATAATTGCAGGATGAGCTGCAAGAGCTTCCTGCCTCCAAGGCTAATTAGGTGCCACTTATGTATTCTGGGCAGATTTGGACAGTGTGAGACAAACAAATTGTTGCTGCCCAAAGAAAAACATGGTAATGTAAGTTAATGTAAAAAGGGTTTTACTCCAAGTGATTTTTGAGTATTTCTATTGGTCCATTCATCATGAAGTCTTCACTAAGTACAAAGGACAGCTGCCATGTATAAATTATGTAGAAAAATAGAAACTGACAAAAATGGACGTTTTTCTTTGGACAGCAGCAAAATGGTAAAAACACCTGTTACTACTGTACAAAACAATTGTGTTTACTGTAATCTTTTTTAGAACTTTGAGAAATTAAGAAAGTTTTTAGATTGCAATAATGTGTCAACAATGTGATTTTGCAATTAGTATGGAATTCAGTGTTTCCACTTCATATTACATAAATAAGGTTTGTAGTGCTTTTTAATGTATTTACAATGTAGAATAAGCTAACATATCAATCACTTTACCAGAAGCACCCTGGCATTTAAATGTATATGATGTTTTTACAATTGTTAATATTTATAATAGGTGCTTTTTCCAATTTAAATGACGTATACATTGAAATGCCATTATACAAAAGTGACACGTGTTAGCAAAGAATTGTATATAGTTCATTAATAGAGCCTTATGAAGCACTATTAGAATTTATGAGTATGCTTATAAAGCATTGTTACCAAGTTGCAAAGAGTCAAAAGCGCACTTGTAATGGCTTATAAATACTGGCTTCATAGAAAGTGTTACCCAGTCTTGTCTAAGAAGGATTATGGGATTTTGGGATTATAATTATGGAATAATTATTAGCATGTTTTGCCTCATCGTAGGTGGAAGGAAGGGGCAACGGAGGCATGATCCAGTGTTTTCCTCCAATAGCGGAGCAGCAGGAAGAGGAAGACGAGGATCAGATCCTCTACCTTAGATCTGTGGATGAAAGAAGCGGGCAGAGACACTCACTCATACAGGGCAGCACTCATCAAATTGACAAGAAGCTTCGCATTCAGCAGCCTGCAGTGACCAAACCTGACCCCTCCAATCTCAGTCCCAGGTACACATACACACACGCACACAGATGCAGATTGCCATACATACTCACTTTTTTACTATTTATTGCTTTGTTTTACTGATAACACATGCAGGAGTCAAAGGTACATAAGCACTCATATGTAACACAGTATGCTTTGTACGCTGTGTTACATGTAAGAAAGTGCTTATATAAGTATGCTTACAAAATTGTTGGGTACCTCTGGTCAAATAACATGTTCTGTTATTTGAGAACTAAGTGAAAATAGTTCAACACATCCTCTACAGAGAACATACTTCTGCATATTTTTATACACAATTACTGTTAATGTGCTGAATTATTATTATTATTATTATTATTATTATTATTATTATTATTATTATTATTATTAACTTGAGATACAAGTTAGATCCTTTTTGACTTCATTATTACATACATATATTACATTATCACAGACCATAATTAATAATTAGGTTTCTACAATTCAAAATAATTATTGATTATTCTTATGTCACTAAGTGAATGGTTTATAATTCAATTGATATCATGTATTACTGTATATCATTACTGTTGTGCAAAAAAAATCTCTCCTTTTGACATTTTTACTTTTTAACATCTTGAAAACTTCAGTAACCCTTTACACCTGATAGATCATTCATGATTAATGTACCAATAGAAATGGTCAAAATTATTTGGCCAAAGTCTGGTTGCATTGACTTTCATTACAACGTTTTGACTTCTCCTTCAAAGTTAATGTCCTAAGGACACAAGGTTTTGTTCTAACAGTGACAATATGTAATGATACACTTGTTAACAATCATTTACAAACACCATAGATTGTTATTAAGTAGCTATTTGTGAGGGCTATTATTATAAAGTGTTAGAGATTTGTTTTAAAGGCTTTTGATTTTGTATGTGTATTTTTCAGGGTTGTTGATGGAACAGAAGCTAGTGAAGGCTCAGAATGCTCTCCAGCATTCACATTCTCACCTGTTCACCAGAACATCAGCCCATCCAACACAAACACCAGCAAAGCAGGTCAGTGTTTGTGTGGGTGGAGGAAATATCACACAATTACTACCTCTGTTGGAGGTTTTACGTTTTATTTAATCAGTTACCGTTGTATGCAATAGTTTGGGCACCTCTGTCAATTTACCGGTTCTGTTGATTTTCGAAGTGAAAATAAGTTTACATATCCTCAATCCTATAACATATTGGGAAAACATAAAACTTAAAATGTGGTCTATGCAAAAGTTATGGCACATTGTACAATATTATTAAAAAAATCCTACTTTTGCTATGATTGTATAGTGCTAGGCTGCACAGAAAAATTTACGAAAATATCACAATATTTCTCAAATATTTGACAGATAGCATTAATGAAGTTAACGAGCTCCTGCTGCTGCTATAAGCTGAAAGAATGTCTTACAAACATGACTTTTTGATTGGACTGTTTTGTTCCATTAGGCATTTCTTAAAATGACACTAAAGGGAACCGTACACAGTAGAGGTGGGCAATGTGACGATATTTTAGCATTTTTGTTATAAATTTTGTTATTGTGATGACCAACACGCTTTTCTGAGCATATTGTGGATGTTGGCTGCTAAGAGATGATGGCTGTTTTTAAATGTGGCAAAACAAATGCATCGTGTCCGTGTGTCAAAATATCATGATACATATCACATATTGTGAAAAAGTCTTTCAATATCTAGATATGTTTATATGTTTTTGGCATATCACTCACCCTTACACAGTATTTTAAACCAGACGGAATATAGATTAGAAGAAAGAAAACATATTATTTATTTAGTTTTTATGTAGATTGAACTTCCAAACATAGTATATATTAACTACGTTGTTGTTGTAGTAAATGGACTACAGGTGCTTTTTAAAGCAGATGTAACATTTATAGCTGCCATTTGTCTTTAATTGCCTGCTTTTCCAGACATCCTGCAAATCACCACAGCAGAGCTAGCCGCTAAATCAGAAGAGACCAGAGGACAGTTACGCCACCTAGACCAAGAGGTATTGTAACACAGCTCCTTTGTACTTGTATTGCTGCCAGTGTGGTGGTCTTGTGAACATGTAAGAATTGTTTTCATTTTGTTTTCAGATACCAGTAAGCAAAGCTCTCTTAGTTTAGCTTGATGTAGTCTGAGTGCCCTGTACTCTGTTAGTAATGAGTTAACCTGAAATCAGCGCAGTTCAGGTAAGCTCCTAGTGCCCTAGTACTCACAAACCATATGGCCAGACCCAAAGAGGGAGAGTGAGAGTGAAAGAGGGCAGCACAGGGTATTTTTCAAACACTAGAGGACATGGAACATGTTAGGTGTGGAAAGTGGGGCTGGCCCCATGATGACATAAGGGAACGTTTGGTGATGCCCTTGAACCTTCTGTTACATTCTTCACTGAGGTTTTTTATCTGGCATCTCCATGTACTGAAAAAATAGATACAAAGATGTTGTACATTAAAGCGATAAGTATTGCAGTTAGAAAATGCTACATAAAATATAGTGTTCATAATAAAGTGTTCATAATAAAAAGGATTAACAATGTCAATAAACAGTTCTTCAAAAATGGTCAGAAATGGTCAATATTATACAATGAACTGTACAATGGTATTTAATAACTTGGAGCATTAATACAGAATTATTCACTTGATGTGTGTGGTCCTATGGCTGTATATTACAGTGCAGTTAGATGCACTGATATGATGATAACTTTACTGAACTAAATTTTGACTGAGCTCTTTTTGAATGCTCTTTAATGCCCTCACAATTATCAGATTATCAGGGGAAGGTGTCTGAAGCACAATCAATGTTGCAGAATTCTTCTGGATGTTTTATGCAATTACACATTTCCACCTGAGAGGTCTCCAAATATATAATTTCAATAGAAGCAACATGGTTTTTGTTAAAAAAAAGATTTTTTGTCCTTCTGTTTCAGGTTTAAATTGTGACAAAAAATGACTTATTTTCTCAAGATTTTGACATGGCAAAATAAATTAGTCAAAATAATGACAAGGTCAACAACATAAATAATCCTCGTGGAGTATGTATGTGATTATTTCAACATAAATGATAATCTTGAGAAATGAAGACATTATTTGAACAAAAAGTATCACAAATTTTGTGAAAATAATTATTTTCACCTTTTGTTTTGAAATGTTAATTTTCTGGCTGATGGGATGGGCTTGAACTTGAGTTCTGTGCTAAGTGCATATTGTAAAATCCCTGTTTAATTTCACTATCTATACTCTGGTCATTTGAAAACTATATAATTTTGAATGTGTCCTTTTAGCTATGTGCAGCACATCAAAGAACGCCAGAGATATTTCTGCCACAGTGCACACAAACCACTGAAGCCTGAGCACACAGGAATAATAAGGTAAATAGATAAATGAGGTAGCTTTAATAAAGCAGATACTGCAGAGCCAATAAGTCTCAATATTTGTTTTTAATAATTGTTTGAAAAAGGAAAACTGTCAGATCATTATTTGGGCAAAACTTTAAAACTTTCATAGTGTTGTACAATATACCCAAATTATTAAAAAATAGCAGTTTAAAAACATTATTCTTTTAAAAGTATTTGGTTTTAGTTGTTAGTTTTTGTTTATTTATTTATTTAGTTAGTTAGTTAGTACAAATAATGTTAGCTATGTTAGCGTAATTAAAACAAACAAACCAAAACAAACTTCTCCCAGTATTTTGCACTTTGACAGGGGAACTCCTAAAAATGCCTATGCAATGAGGCAAAAGCGCAAAAGAACAGTGGTTGCCCCTTTGATCATTTTAAGGCTGCTAAAGGACCATTCCGTTTATTTCGTAAATCACTGCAGTCACAAATAGCACAAAGCATTAGTAAACATGCCCTTGAGTTGCTAAAGTCAGCCCAGTAAATGTAATGCTAGGCTACATGTTGCAAAACAGCATGCCTCATGGAAGAGAAGATTTGAGTGATGTAAAGTACAGTGTAGTAAAATTAATGCTATACTACGG